TGCTCCGTCTTAACGTCCTGTTCACAAAGGATATTGCGCTAATGATATACCAGCACAAACACGCCCACAAAGTTTGGCAGCTGAGTGCAGTTTGCCCCTGATTGCAATTATAGCCACATGGCAAAGTATAAATGCTGGCTTTGCGCCAAGAACACCGTGGCAGAACAATGGCAGAATACTGAATACTGTATACCCTTATGTAGTGATGTCTGCTGGTGAGTCAGTCTAACAGTGTCGGATGGGTTGAGGCTGTGGATTTGACCAAGTTTGACCACTTTATCACTATTCCCTCTCACTTGTAGCTGTTTTTTCATTATCTTTTGAATTTAATATGAATTATGGAACCGTTTTTGTTCACGTTTCGTAAAATAAATTATTGAAAGTTGCTTTTGAAGTGCGTGACAGAAGTGTGTTTTGAGAACGACCGCAGACTGTCACCTGTTCAACGCATCAATATCTTCAGATGCCATTAAAGTAATAATGATTATAATAATAATGTCAAAATATTATTTACAGACTGATTTAACAGACGATCACTGCTGCCATGATCACTGGAAAGTCTGGGGGAGAGGCTTCCACAGAGGAAGACGGTCTAAAGATTCTAAAGACGTTATTTACTTCACTCAAACTGTGTGTGGCTATTAGCGCTGGTGTTAGTGAATTAGACGTTGTTTATCAATGAGGCTCATTTGCATAGAAAGGGGCAATTTTTGCGCCAAATATATGCATATTACCTCATTTTAATATGTGCAAATATCACTTGAGCTCCGAGACGCAATCTGCTTGGCAGCGCAGTTAGTGGAGCATTTCACCCTCTGTGCGTGCTTTGTGAATTAGACGGTATCTGTTTGCTCCATTTTTACCGGTTTAGCGGCCGCAAAAGCCATGCAATCCTTTTGTGAATTCGGCCGTGTGTTCTTAATGACGTCACTGTGCTATGTTTTGTGTGGTACAAAACCATGTGAAAAAATAATAAATGCCTTTGCACTCTGCTCATAGAAATGAGCATATCTCAGAAAATGAATAATGTACATAGTTCAAATAACTTTCAGTGTTAAGAAATAGTTTGTTCATGTTTCTAAATTAATTTTTTTTTTGGATCAAATATGTTTTGTGAAGATTTTATTTGTAAATGACACAATTTCAGTACTTTTATCAATTATTGTGGTTTATTAATTTACATAACTTTTTAGCTTAGGTTGTACAGGTTTTAGGTATATGAAGCATTTGAAAATACTCCAAGAAATTATATCACAGTAAGCAATTCTATTGCAGAGTTTGAAGGGTTCATTAAAAATGAATGACCTATTTATTAATTTCAGAACACATATTTATACATTCAAAATCTGTAGCTCAAAATCTGGTACAGACATTTGTTATGAGGAGATTTTTGAGCTGAGTGAAAAATTACCAGGACCATATCATGAATGGAAAGAATATGAACAATATGCATGATTAATCCGGAAAAAATGTGAAGTTTACAAATGGTATGTTGTGGTTTTACATGATTTTGTGTACTGGACTATTTGTATTTACGGAAGCGTATTGCTGCCACATCACAAAAAAAATAATGGATCAGTATTACATTGTAACGTGAAAAGTTTATTGTTCAACAAGAAGTTTTTCATGTTATAACAATATATTTTCACTTTGTAACAACATAGTTTCATGTTAAATCGTGATAACATTTATTGTAAAAACGTGAAAAGTTTCACGTTATAACGTGATAATTTATATTGTGAGAACGGGAAAAGTTTAACGTTAAAACATGATAATTTATATTGTCAAGACATTAAAAGTTCCAAATTATAATGCAATATTCGGTCTTGGGAGGAGGTGCACCCATATACTCCGGTTGTGATTTGACACTTGGCTATTTGCAATGAACAGGCATCAACATGGCCCAAAACAGGGATAACATGAAACTATATTGTTAAAACGTGAAACTTTTCATGTTGTTACTATATAAATTATCAGGTTATAACATGAAATAAACTTTTCACGTTATAATGTCATATATATATGTATGTATATGTATATATATTCAAGCAACCAGCAGAGATTTAAGTACGTCACTTTTCCTGGTCAAAGAATACTACACCACAGGCATGGCTAAAAACAAACAAACAAAAATGTTGGTTTGTATGATATCTGTAAGATTTGTTCTGAAGAAAATATGGAAGAAGGAGAGGGGGAGGAAGGGGGGGATCTACTGATATCTGTGTGTGTGTGTGTGTGTGTGTGTGTGTGTGTGTGTGTGTGTGTGTGTGTGTGTGTGTGTGTGTGTGTGTGTGTGAGTGGGTGGCTTATCCCAGCTCACTAGGAGTTACTGTAGCTTGTTAGAGGCCCCTCTACCAGTGGGGCTGTCAGGTTGTGTTAAGCAGTTGTATCATGGGCCAAGTAGGACAGAGGAAACTCACACAGACACACACTCTCTCTTTCTCTCTCTCTCTCTCTCACACACACACACATACACACACACACACACACACACCATCTCACGACTCCACCACAAATGCAGGAGTGCAAGTACACACACAGCCATGCATGCAGCATTCACATCACACCGTGGCCCTGCATGGCTGTTCATCTGTAATAAAACTGCCTTGCGAGCAGTCTGAACCCTGGAGCATTTTCCCATAGCCGCCTGAGATGTTAACTCACAGTTATATAAGATGGGAGAGAGGGCACTTCTTCCAGTACTGTTACCTGCACTATTAAGTGCATGCTGACTGGATGGACTTTCTTAGTACATTGAGAGAAAATGAAAAAGACAGGCTTTAAACTGGAGAAGGACATCCACTTCCAATACTTATCATCCCTCAGCTGCCTGTGTTTATATTTAGTATTATTGTTTCTGGTTCTTATTCAACCACCCCCTTTTTAACTTTGCTCCAGTGATTAAGAGGTTTGGTGTTGCCCCAAGCCCCAGGTTGTGCTTTGGTTATCAGCTAAGCCACTCAAAGCCTTTGTGTGTGGGACTTGAGTTGATGGTCACATTACATTTTCGCCCTACAAATGATATCTTCCATTCAGCTCAAACAACAGACAAATCCAAGGATGAATTTCTTATTCCATCTCCAGTTAGCTTCAACTCTGAGCATGTGGATGTGCATAATCAGCCAATAGAAACAATGATGCTCTACAATACTTTTGAAAAAAGGAAGCCATTTACTGTTGTGTGTCATCGACTGTTTAGTGCAACAATACACTACAAGACTACATTCCGAAGCATTGTTCTTGCTGCATAAAGGTTCTGTATATGACATTCCAACACTTTCTTATCCAAAATTGTCACCCATCGCCTGTCAGTGGCCTTTTGTGTCAACATATTAAGTGCTAGATATCCTCCTGCGTCTGCTGTTGTTGTTCCCAGACACTGCAACCAACACTGTGACGTCAACAAAAGCCCGTGGTTAGATTTAGAATAAACATCATGATTTGGCTCTACATTCATACGGCAAGTGAACACCAGATTCCTGTGTGAAAGGGCAGGTTTATTGGAAAGCAAAAGTGTTATCGGGCAAGCCCACTGTCAATTAAGAAATTATAGAAATGGGCTGGACAACCTGCACTATTGGCTGGTCAGACAGAGTCGACCCAAAAGGCACATCAGCCCACCAGGAAATTACCTGGTATGCCAGATGGCCAGTTTGCCCCTGCTGACGGGAGTGCCTTGCAGTAGGTTTTGAATACTAATAAAATAGTTGTTTTTCTGTCTGTGTTGTGTGCTGAAATTAGCTTAAGTAAATATGAGCATTTGCATTAAAAAGCTTTTAAAGAAGTTGAACTGGTGAGGATAGCAGACCCTCACAATCAAAAGCTCCAAAGAATATGTCACCTGGGAATTTGGAGCTTTGGAATTAAAGTTGCATGAAGTTCATAAGTATTTGTCAAACATCAGCCCTGTTCTTGAACACACCAAGCTGTTGCAAGGGCTTCAATTTTATCTGGCAAAAAAAATAAGAAAGAGTGTTTCCAAGTTGTACAGGTTGTTCAGCTGTGCCCATTCCAAAAGCCAATCTTAGCTTGCCAACTTACACCACACACTAACTGTGCATTTTTTTTCTTTTCTTTTGGTAACATCATCTGGAACAAAAAAAAATATTTTAACTCGCAACAGAAATAGGATGACTCAGGGGTACCACTCTTACAGCATAGTAAGCAAATTCTGGGCTCTAATTGCTAAGCCTTCCTGTTCGTAGTTTGTGTGTTCTCCACATGTCTGTGTGGGTTTGCTGTGGTTGATCTTGTTCCCTCCAACAGCCCCAAAACATGTGAAATGGACATGCTAAATGCCAGAAAGTGTGAATGTGAATAAGTTACTCTGTCTATGTGACAGACTGACAACCTGTTAAGGGTCTACCTCCCCCTCACCCAGTGTATTCTGGGATATGCACTATTATTCCTCCAGTAGAGTAGATTGCTTGATGGATGGTTGAATGAATCTGAAATCAAAATAAAGTGATCAGTTAAAGGCCCAGACACACCAAACCAACATTGAAGGACTATCGGTGACGAAGGCTGACTTTTGCGTCACCTCAAGTTGTGGCTCAGGGGGAGGGGCTGGTTGTCCACTAATAAGAAGATCAGCAGTTCGATCTCCGGCTCCTCCAGTCTGCATGTCGAAGTGTCCTTGGGCAAGATACTGGACCCCAAATTGCTCCTGAAGACTGTACCATTGGTGTGTGAGTGCCTTCAAAACTGAGTAGCAGGCTTCACCTTGTATGGTAGCCTGGGCCTGTGTGTGTAATTGTGTGTGAATGGGTGAATGTGATTGTGATTGTGATGTTTGAATGCTTTTCACTATGAAATCAAAAAAGATCATCAAAATCTGAAAGACGGCAAGACTAATATGACTCAATTAATCCCAGAGGGTTGTGTCTTGATACATTTAATTATGTCCCATATCACTGCCATAGTATGACTTGTTTTTTGTTGACCTTGTTGCCTTGTATTAACTGTTTGTCTTATTGCTCCTCTCTCTTCCTGTCTTCCAGAGTCTGCAGCTCTCCTCTCAGGGACAGTCTTCTGCAGCCCTTCTCTGGTCACAGGCCTGCCTGGCATCTCTCATCCATACCATTCCTCTTTCCATCCACCCATCCTTCCCCCTGTCATGAAAGGCCTGTCCAGTAGTCGGAGTCACCATCACGTGGTCTCCTATGAACCATCATATGATCTACTGGGTCACCATGTTGACCGCAAGCCATATTTGATCAGTCAGAATGACATGCCTGTGCCCATTCCCATGCCGCATCCAGCTGAGCTGTCCTACTACAATGCTCAGCGTTCCCCGTACCCCTCTGACAGCAACAGCATCGTACCATACGGAACCTTCCCAAGGAGGTGCCACTCCACCTCCTCATCTCACCATCCTGAGGTAAAGGATGAGTGTATGGCCATGGTACCATATGTAGGAGGAGGAGGGGGAGGAGGAGGAGGAGGTGGAGGAGGCTATGGAGGTAAAACGCCCACCCGGGTACCAGCAAACTTTGCGGACCCGTTTGAGCGTCAGCCGTCATTTTCCAGAGATGGCTACCATACACTGCAGTACAAACGAGGAGTACTGGCCCACAGTGGGGGGATGGGGGCCAACAACAACAACAGTGACAGCCCAGGGAGAATTCGCCACCTGGTCCATTCGGTCCAGAAACTTTTCACCAAGTCACATTCATTGGAGGGGCCACACCACACACAGTCCTCCAAGGGGGCCAATAATGGGAGCGTTAATGGTGGTGGTGGTGGTGGAGGAGGTGGTGGTGGTGGTTCAAGGGCCAGCCCAGAAGGTGAAACTCCACCGGTGGGAGTGCGCCACCGGAAGCGCAGCAAGAGCCGCGAGCGCTGTCGATCAGCGGAGCCCAAGCATCGAAGCCACCACCACCACCACCACCAGCTCCACGGCTCAGCATCTGCTCCAGGCTCTGGATATTGGAGCTCAGATGACAACCTGGAACGGGAGCTGTGTCTCTACCACCCTCACCACCACCAACCTCCACCCTCACCCTCACCCTCCATTTCCCCCTCGCCCATCGCCATGACAATGGGCCGGTACCCCGGGAACAACCACGACAAGTTCCCCCAGACTCCCCTCCCCAGTCTCTCCTCCTCGCAGTCCCAGCATTACTTCATGATGGACCCTTATGGCACACTAAACGAGCACACACACACCCACGCACACCATGGCCACACACACCACCATTCTGCACTCAAAGCCTCCCGGAGCAACAACGATGTGAAGTATGCAGCGTCGTCGGCATGTGTGCCAGTTAGTGGTAGCAGCAATAACAGCGGTGGCGGTATCGTTGGAGGAAGTGGCCCCTTGATGCCAATGGGTCTTGTGGACGGGCCCATTGTGAAGAAAGGGGCATGGTCATCAAGCCTAACGGTGAGCAGGGCCCGAGAGGTCTACACCAACAACAGCAGCCACAACCAGCTACGAGCCAGCGCAGGATCCGGTAACCTAAACCTAGATAGAGCTCTAGTCAAATCTAAGGGCAGTCAGCAGCAGGAGCGCTCTTGCCATTTCTTACAGGTAACTAATTCCTCCCCGACTCCCATCCAAAACCAGTCGATTCACTCTTCTCCCCTCTGTTGCCTCCCTTTTCTCCACGACTTACTTTCCTCACCAATGTTTCCTTTTAGTCAGTGCTTTCCAGTCTTATGAGATGTCAGTTTTCATTCCTACCAAACACTACAACTCTCTGACTTTGCTAAGGAGCAGCTTCAATGTGAGAAGGGCAAACAATTCAGTGGAATCCATTACTGGAATGAAGTACTAGATAAGCAGGAATGACCTGTTAAAGTTTTAGGTTATCACAATGCCAAAATCATTTCAGGACACTGGATGATTGCGTCTTTGAAAGTTCCCAGAATGATCTGTAATGTACAGTGAAAACAATATGTAATCTGACCATTGAATTAGTATAAAGAAAAAGTATTCACAATGGGCATGGGTTGGTGAATATGAAGAATATATATATTCACTCATCTAGCTCTAGGGAACTCTGATATTAGAAGATTTACACACACAAAATAGTCATGAGGTATCCTCTTATACCCCTATTCCACCGTCATGGATTTGGTTCAGCTCCGGTTCCTGCACCTAATCTCGAACTGTTCAAAGCATTTCAACTAAAAATAAAATTGGTTCAGAACCTGAAAAAGTTGGTTTTGAGTTGGAACCAAAATTGGCAGATTTTCCTTGACCTGAAGTGCTAACCGTGACAATTTCAGTGGGTGTGTCACATTTCCTTTCCCATTTCCTGTTCCCCTTCCTATAAACAGTAATGTACCCAAATTCATTTATAACCTATGTGTTTTGGAAGGCTGCAATCACGGGACCAGTGCCCTGATGGGAGTAAACAAGGAAACAGTCCCGAGGATTCTTGTAATGGGGCAGGGAGGATGGTGGATAGGTCACAGAAACGTGAATTTTTCCCCTGGAGACGCATGCTTGGAAGTGTGAACTGAGTGAACTTTGAGTTATTGTAAGTTATGTCCTCAACGTGTTTCTTTTCCTAAACCTACCCTCAGTAACTTTACTTGCCTAAACCTAACCTTCGTAACTTTACGTTAGTTAGGTAACTGTACATGAAGGACGTAATGTCATTCATGGGGTGCTTACTTGTAAGATATCATATGAACTGTTGTGTCTGCATTTTCGTAGCATATCATACGAACCATTCTGAGGATACATCGAATATTTACACCTTTAAAGAACACAGAAGATAAAATGTGATGCATCATTGAATATAGGATACTGGCAAAGATAACCATGTCTAATAAAAACAGTGTATTGTGATTCTACTTACTGAACTAGAGAGGAATTTAAAACACATCTCAAACGTTATTTCATTAGCTAAAGCTGGGTTCAACCTGCTATGATGAAGTTAATAAAAAGGCCTGTTGGAGATGTTGTGATGTCCTTTCCAGTCAGTGAGCAGAGAGAGCAAAGATTTGTGCTGCGTCTTTCAATGTATTCTGGGATTGGCAGCAGGACATCTAGAGAACTGTAACACTTGTGGCATTGAGAGACTTTGGGAAAACTCAATACCTCCTCATCTAGAGATAACACTCATAGAGTTATGTTGAGAGCTAAACACAGAGAACGCTAACACCAACATTTGGTGGAATGTAATGGAGCCCAAAGTGAAAGGCTAGATACTTTTGGCAAAGAGACAAGAATAAGTATATTATACTGTTTAATGGTCAGTATAGTTAGCTTATAGTGGTCTGAGAGTGTCAGCTGTAAATATAGAGAAATCATCACAGAAATCATTGAAGTTTGTTTAGTAGTTAAATATCTTCAGTAATGTATGTGTATTTCTGGATGTCATGACACAGTTGTCATGACACATAAGAAAAGGATAGGTCTGCAGTGTGGATCCTTAGTGTTTTAGATTTAAACTTCTATCAGAGTGCACCTCCTCATGGCTGCCTAATCAAAAGAAGGTTTGCAGGGTTGAGGGCTACAGTCAAGGCAGCTTACAGCATGCATTTTATTCTTTTCTACATCAGCAATTTTAATAAATGCAGCTTTATATGACAGCCCATCCAAGTCAGGGGTCTTATCTAACAAAGTCCCTGCATTGCTTCAGTGTTTGGCTGGAATGACAACTGCTGATTTATATGGCTGGAAACCATGACTGGATATCACTGGGGCTGGGGACACACTGAAACTTGTAATATGAGGGTATTAGGCATTATTTAATCTTAACAAGGATCATCAACTGACAGATAGGGAAAACCAAGGTGTTCCCACACTACAGGGTTTGTTTTACCTTTCTCCTTGATCACTTTCTGCCATCTTCTTATAAGATCTACCACTGAAGTTTCAAAACAACCAGAGATATGATGAGTCATTCCTTGCTGTTTTCAACTTGCACTGAAAGTTTTGTTTAGACTTTGGGGGGAGGGGCCGAGCACATCCGTTTTGAAGGGGTGTGCCTGATTTACAAAATAAAAGACAAACCGGGAGCAACATTGGTGCAGTTCTCACGTTTTATCTTGATTATCCTGTTTTAATAAAATGAAGGAATGCATAATCATAGTTGAAAATAAAATCTGATTAATCACCCAGACCTATGATTAATTGATCCTTTGGTTTATAAAATGCCAGAACACCTTGAAAAAATTGCCTTTTACAATTTCCTGAGGCCCAAGATGATGTCATCAGATGTTTTGTTTTGTCCAACCAACAGTCCAAATCCCAAAGAAATTCAATTTTACAATTACATAAGATAAGAAACACAATAAGTACTGAAAAAATCTGAAGAAACCAACTGAAGAAATCAACTGTTTAGATAGCATTTTTTTGTTGTTGTTGTTGATGATCTACTAATCAATGAATCACCTAGTCATTTCAGCTCTAATTAGCTTATTGTTAGATGATGTGTTAAAAAAGTAACCGAGCCCAAAACTGTATGGAACGTCAAGTTTACTGGTAAAAAGCAGACCTTGACCTGCATTCTTCACAATCACTAAACAAGATCTTTTTTTTACACTGTTAGTCTGGATTTACCAATATGAATTAAAACAACTCTTTCCACTAACTTTCTAAAACTTATGTTAATCTCAGAGCTGTGCAGGAGACCAAATCTACTCTCTGCCGCTATGTAAATATCAGTCGATGTTTGTCAGACTGCTGTAGAAGAAAGTCTTTCATGTTGTTCCAGCTCTTTCAGCCCTTCATGCTGTATGTTCTGATGTTAAACTGCTCAGATATTTGACATATTTGACATATTCGATATTTGATTAGAAAAACTTACTTCTGGAAGTTTACTTTAAAACAAGAGAGGTGTTAGAAAGTTTTTTGTAACAAAAATCTTCCAAACACCAGCCAAAACTGTGGGGTTAAAATTTGCTGGTCAAAAGCAGGTATCAACAGCCCTTTCTTATTCCAAAGTCATCAAACACTACTGTTTGGTCAGTGATTTCGGCATCAGACACTGAGGCCAAAAGCCTCCAGTGGAATGCTACACTATCAGGTGGCCTCAGTTTGTAACACATCCGGACAGAACCTTTGGTGGTATACCGCCAGTTGGACAGACAGCACTTGCATATGATACACAGATAGGCGGCGTCAATTAATACAGAGAGCCTGAGCCAAACCATGATTTTTTATTTCCTAAACTTAACCACACAACGAAATAAACATAAATATGCTGTGTTTTACTGACACTGTAATTTTATTTTGAAAAAGAATGTATGCAGAAACTTCTGTAAAAACAGAAGAATATTAAGAAGAAACACAATGCATGTAACAGGCGGAATTTGACACAGTGTCTGGCAACATCAACAACAAACGCAGGATACCTAGCGCATAATACGTGACTGGCACTGCTAAAGCAGCAATATCTGATGAGTTGGGATGAGAGCTCATTGGCAATGAAGCTATCAGCTGGTCTTTGGGACCACCTACCATACTCTTATTAGCTGAAACCAGGGGTGAGTTCCAAGTATAGAGTCTACAGTCAGCGTATATTTTGTGGAAGTTCAACTGTTTTCAAGTAAAGCTGACTGGCACATGAAGTAGATACCTGACAAATCAAAGAATATCATCGCACTGATGCAAAAATAAAAGAAAACTCAACTAATATTGTCATAAAATAGCAGTCATGCTCAATGATTTGGATCTTTAGTGCTTGACTAATCTCCTATAAATTACATAATGGCCACACAGATTTGGGGTTGGGGTGCTGGACTGAAAACAACTTGCAGTGTGTTAAACAGTGTGATAATTCAATAAGCTAACCCTCTTAGCATCCCCCTAACTATGGCTAATTTATACCCTACACAGGTCTAATGTTAATAGATTAAATCATCCATATGTATTTAGAGTCAGGTAGTATAAACATGTTGCAGTGTGTCCCCAGCCTTAGAGGGAACATTGCTTCCTACCACCAGTCTATTACTCTGATTTCCCAAGAACCCCACTGCCACCTCTTCCCTTTTCTCCACTACTCCTTTCCTCCTGCCTTTCCTCCACTCACCCAACTCACCCCCACGCTTCTTATCCACCCAACCCCCTGCCACCCACCAACCCACCTCCACCTCCTTTACTTCCTCTTGGTTTGGAGAGCCTCCCTCTTCCTTCTCCTCTACCTCCTCTTTCCTCCTTTTGAGTTGAAGAGAGAAGTAAGTGCAGAGCCAGTAGCAGCCTTACTCTCTGAATGCTAGGTAATGACATGAACTCATGAAGAACGACATCCTTTCCTGTTTGTAGACCTCATTTTTAATTTAGTAGTGCTCCCCTTCCTGCCTCTCTACCAGTGATCTTGCCTTTTCTTCACTGTTTTTGTCTTGATGGCTTGCTGTTGTGCTGTGCTGTGCAGTTTTGTCAAGTGCTACGCTGAGCTAAGTGTTGGGGAGGTGTTTTACTACATATAGGAGGTAGAAGAGTTTGAGTACATGTGGCTGATACCCAGTGGTAGTTCAACTAAATTTAAATAGGGTTTGAGTTTATTGATTTTGCTAAGTTTATCAGTCTTTCCTTTATTTCAGGATCCCAAATTCTATTGTTTAATTTGAGCA